CGAGGCGAAGCACAAAAAGTCCCGAAGTCTGGAGGCAAGGCTCCTAGCTGAGACTTCGTGACCTCAGGACGAGCACAACATGCGCGATCACCGAGTGCTCAATCAATGACATCTGAGTCTTAAGGTCGGTCAAAAATGGGGTGTCTACAGTTGTCCCTCTTTGACAGAACTCGGAAGTCATAAGTGACGAGAGTGAATGTCAAAGCCCAGAGACGACCCATTTTTGATAAGGCCGAAGACTTAGACAAACAGGCGAAATAAACAAGAAGTGTGCCTGCCGGCATGCCTGCAGGCAAGGGGCAAAATGCAAAATGATATGCACCAAGCTGAACGTAACTCGTGATCATGCAATGCAGCAAGCTATAATGAAGCAAATATTCACAATAAATGCAACAATTTTAAGCAAGAATGCGAGGCAAAACTGCATTTCATGCAGTAAGAGTGTAAGAGAATTACAATTCTCGCTACGTCTCACACGGAGAAGATGCAATACCTGTGCGGCTCGTTTGGTCGCACCAGCTTCAAATGAACCGTACATACAATATCGTGCATGCAAAAGAGAGAAACTTAACAAGCACAACATAGTTAGCAACACATGTTCAGCACTACATCGAATGTGGATAGACATGGTGCCGATGAAAAAGCGCATCGCAATGCAAGAAGAAACGTGCGCGCAAGGTTTAAAAATGCGGTGTTACGTAACGGTTTCGGCCATTACGTAATGATTTTGGTGGTAAGCACTACACGTTACCCCCGATTTTGTGGTATGATTGAAATTCATAGGTGTATCGGCCGTTACGGTCGTCGTAGCGGTCGTAACGGTGATGTAACGGCCGTAACGGCCCGTTACGAACGTTACAGGGCATCTTTAGCTGATTCTTTTAAAAAAAAAACAAAGAAAAAGCTGAAAAGGCTGAAGATTGATGTCCGATACACATCCACAAATTTTCAAAAGAAAAAACAAAAGAAATAGATGTACATACCTTTAGCTTTCGTCTTTTGCCTTTACAGCCCATGAACCATTTTCAATTGAAGTGAGATTCCACAAATTTTCAGATCTGAAATGCGGATGAGTGAGAAATAGAGAGAGAGAAGAGAGAAGAGGGAAGAGGGAAGAGGGAGATGGAAGAGATGAACTTCTCTGCTAGCTTGATCTTGCCTTTGTTAGCTTGATCTTGCCTTTGTGCTGAACAATAGTAAGTCCAGAGTTTGATCTTGCCTTTCTTTATCAAATTTTATTTGCTCAGTAGCCTCTCTCTAGCTTCGTGGGGAAGATAAGCACTGCCCCTTTCTTTATCAAACTGTTGACTTCACAGATAAGCATTTGTTTCCTTGTGGTCTCCAACTGGCCAAGATTATTTTATTTTATTTTATTTTATTTTTATTTTTTTTAAACAATGATTTCAGATTTTAAATTTTATAAAATCTATAAAATTTATGTGATATATTTAATAATTTTAATTTAAATATATATATAGAGCTATACACTTATTTTTAGTATTTTATATATATTAATTAGTGATTGATTTTTTTTTTATAATATCTAAAAATCATAACACATATAATTATATGAATACATTTTATATATGTCAATTTTTATTGATTTTTTTTTCTTGCAGGTTATTCAAAAAGATAACAAATACTCAAGTGATTGAAGCCCCAAAACGAAGTATGTATGAATTTTTTTCTTCATAATTTATTTTTTAATTTTTATATGATCACATTACCATGTAAACTCCAAATGTATAAAGAGTAGTTACATTTTTTTTATAATCATTTCATTTAATATTTAATTATAAATATTTTTTATTTTGTTATTGTAATACTGTTAAAGGCATAATTTTATTTTTTAAAAAATGACTTTTTTTTAAAAAAAAAAATCAATACCTCAAAAAAAATTATTTATAATTTATTTTTTAATTTTATATGGATATATATAGCATGTAAACTCCAAATGTATAAATAGTGGTTGCATTTTTTTTAATAATTATTTCATTTAATATTTAATTATAAATATTTTTTATTTTGTTATTGTAATGTGTTGTGACAGCAATGTTAAGTCACTATTTTTTTTTAAATATCTTTTTAAAAGAAAAAAAAAATCAATACCTCAAAAAAAATTATTTATAATTTATTTTTTAACTTTTATATGATTATATTAGTATGTAAATTCCAAATGTATAAATAGTGGTTGCATTTTTTTTTGTAATCATTTCATTTAATGTTTAATTATAAATATTTTTATTTTGTTATTGTAATGTGTTGTGACAACAATGTTAAAGTCACTATTTTTTTTTAAATATCTTTTTAAAAGAAAAAAAAATCAATACCTCAAAAAAAATTATTTATAATTTATGATTTAATTTTTAATTTTATATGATTATATTAGCATGTAAATTCAAATGTATAAATGCGAAAACAACACACACCCAGTAGTTAGGCTAAAAGTAAAATGTAAGGAATTCAAGTTCCAACAGGCTTACTTGGGCTTGTTGGCCCTAGTTGCTTTGGGCCTTTATATGGTTTGGTCCTGAGTTGAATTTGGACCAAGCCTAACAAGTAAGCTAATAACATGTATGGTCCAATTAGTTCCTCCAGTTTTAAGATTAAAAGGAAACCTTAAAAAGAATATATATATATAATATAATATATATATAAATTTCTTCATAATTCTTTTATTTTTAAAAAATTCTCTATGAGATTTTAATTGTTCCTTTAGGAACAAACAAATTTTTTATTTTTAACAGAATGGAAAAGGTTCATTTGTGTATTTTACAAATAATTGTACATTTTTTAAAAAAAAATCTATGCGTAGAAAATTTTTAAAAATTCTTAACAAAAAAAAACACACTCTTAACAAAAGTATTTTTCATTTCATTTAAGTTATGCAGAATGAAACTAAAGGTCACATGTTGCTTTCAAGTCACAATTGACAATGAGTCATATTAATATATATATACGAATTTTACACTTTTAAAAGAATGCACGAGATTAGCACCCTTAATTACCAATGAGTCATGTTAATTTTTTTATATTCATCATTAATCATTTAATTATATAATATTTTTTATTTTGTTATTGTAATGTGTTGTGACAACAATTTTTTAATAACGTTTGTTATATAATGTGTTGTGACAATAAATAGTGGGTTGAATTTTTTTTTTTATTTTTTGTAATGCAGAATTCAAATTTAAAAATGTCACGACTAAAAAGGGCTGCCAATGATGAACCCCCAAGTGATGATATTGGTTGGAAATTTGGAACTCAAGTTGAAGGCACTAGGCATCATATTATTTGCAAATTTTGTGGACATCACATTAAAGGTGGGATTATGCGTTTCAAACAACATTTAGCACATCAAACAGGACAAGTGCGTTCTTGTCCTAATGTTAGTAGAGACGTGATGCAAGAAATGATGAAACATTTACAAAATAAGAAAATGAGTAAAGCAGACAAACAAAAGAGAAAAGCTGAATTGGAAGCACATATTAGAGGAGATGATCTTTATGATGAGGATGAAGGGGGAGATTTTGTAGATCTTCGAGATGATAACTCTGACTCTGATCCAGAGATGACTAGGGCTCGACAAGCAAGTATTCGTTCACAACAACAATGGGAGGAAAGGGAACAATTTAGATGAGGTGTTGCAGGTCATGGATCACAATACGATGCAGGTGGTAGTTCTGGTGCAGGGGGTAGTGCTCAAAGAATGCCAAAAGGGTCAGGTATTGCTAATGTTTTTCATCGATCACAATCCGTGCATGAAACTGGTGGAAGTGGACATAATTGGATTAAACCCAATGCTATGTAGAACTCCAAAAGAGCAAGAGTACAAAGCAACGAAAAATCTCTACAATGAATTTACAAAAGTTAAAAGAGAGATTGGGACGGGCAGTGTCTAAGTTTATACTCTATAATCGTATTCCATTCAATGCAGTTGATTTAGAGTATACACAACCCATGCTTGATGTTGCTGTTGAAGTAGGGCCAGGAGTAAAGGGTCCTAGTGCTTATGAAGTTTTTGAAGTATATTTGGACATGGAGTATGATGAAATGACAGAATGGATAGGATCATTAAAGGAATTTGGGAAGAGAGAGGTGTATCCATCATGTGTGATGGTTGGAGCAGTCTAACTCGGCAACACATCATCAACTTCTTAGTGTACTGCAATAGAGGTACTATATTTCACAAATCAATTAATGCCTCTAATATTGTTAGTAGGACTGCTGAATATTATTTTGGGTTGTTAGATAAAGTTGTTGATGAAATTGGAGAACAATACGTTGTTCAAGTGGTAACTGATAATGAACCTGCATTGAAAGCTGCCGGTAAAATGTTAATGAGAAAAAGGAAACATTTATATTGGACAGCTTGTTCAGCACATTGTATCGATCTCATGCTAAAAGACATAGCCAATAAGAAAAGTGTAGCAAAGGTGATTGAAGATGGTAAAACCATCACCAATTTCATTTATAATAGTGGATGGGTGTTGGATTTAATGAGAAAATTCACTGGAGATAGAGAATTGATTCGACCTGCCATCACTCGATTTGCTACAAATTTCATTGCCATTGAGAATATTGTTAGATATAAACAACAATTGAGAGCTATGTTTAATAGTGATGAGTGGAAGAATTCTAGATGGGAGAAGGCAAAGACTGGGCAGCCTTACAATGTGAAAAAAATTATTTTGGGAAAGGAGTTTTGGCAGAAAGCAACAGAACTTTGTAAAGTTCATGAGCCCCTAGTCAGAGTATTGAGGCTGGTTGATGGGGATGAGAAGCCAACAATGGGTTTCATATATGAAGCTATAGATAGAGCAAAGTTGGTAATTAAAAGAGATTATCGCTACTACACCGACTATTGAAAAATTATTGATACTCGATGGTCTTTTCAATTGCATCAAGATTTGCATGCGGCTGGTAAGTGTTACGATTTCAATTATAAAATGTATATTTATTTACAATTATTAATTGTCTTCTTATTTTTGAAGGATATTTTTTAAATCCTCAATTCCAATATGGTGTTATCTCATCCAATGAAATGATAAGAGAAGTGATGGATGGACGTAAAAAAGTCATTACCAGACTGGAGCCTGATATGGATGCTCAAGTGAAAGCAACAAATCAAGTACGTACCAATTATTTAAATTTTAATAGTAATAATCTACTTTTGCAAATGTTACTTGTAATGATTGTCCAAATTGTAGTTGTTGCTGTTTCGAGATAAACAGGAAACTTTTGGCACTCCTTTAGCACAAAGAGCATGGAAACAATCAAATCCAGGTTTTATTTTCAAAATTACAAATTTACAATATATAAATACTTAAATAATTTTCTATCATATTTTGAGTTATGTCTAGTGTAATGTAATTTTGTGCAGCTGAGTGGTGGATTATTCATGGCAGTTGTGCTCATAAACTTCAAAAAATAGCTGTGAAAGTATTAAGTCAAACCACCACATCATCTCACTGTGAACGTAATTGGAGTACTTTTAGTCTCATCCATATGAAGACAAGGAATAGATTGAAATATAAGAAAATTCAAAGATTAGTCTTCATCACCTATAACATGAGATTAAAATTGAGACATGTTAAAAGAAGCAGCCAAGAGGAGATTGATAGGAGTTTTAATCCTATTAACTTGGATTACATATTTGAAGAAGATGATCCAATAAGTCCATGGATAGAAGAAAGGGAAAATCCTTTACTAGATGGTGTGGATAATTCTGAATGGCTAGATTTGGTCTCAGATGATGGTGGTGGTGGCGGTGACGACGACAGCAATGGCGATGGCAGCGATGGAAACGGTGGTGGTGGCACCCACAGATATCAAGCTCGACGCACTTCTCAAAGCTCAACTCCTACTCCAACTCAAAGTGATAATAGTGGTGGTTTAACACCATCTGATGGAGGAGGTGATGATGGTGATGGTGATGGCACTTCTCACGGTGACGGTGGTGGTGGTGGCGGTGGCGGCGACAATGGTGGTGATGGCGGTGATGGTACTAGTTTTGGTGCAGGAAGTGAAGATTTTATTGGAGGATTTGGATTATGTGATGTTGGGGAACATTATGATATTGGAGAACCTGTTGCACCTTTACCCCAACTACCTAGGAGGTTTTGTGGTAGTGATACCCGTAGGGATGAAAGAAGAATAAGAAGTAGAGAACAACAACTTGATTCATCTGATAGTAGTCATAGTTATCCATATCACCCTTATCCATCCTATAGCACTGATAGCTAGAGCTATCCTTACCCACCTAAACAAAATTATCCTTGGCCCCCTCAACAACATGGTCCTCTAGGATACGGTTTGCCAAATTATCAACAAACTCAAAAAGGGTATGTTGATCCTTTTCAGCCAAGGTATCCATTTTCTCTCCCAATGCACGAAACAGAAAGGGATGACATGATGAGCACATTTACTTATATATTTCCTACTGGATGGAATGAAGGTAGTAGCAATCAAGCTCAACAATCTGATTCCCAAGATGCACCACGTCACTCATTTTGGTGGGGTGAAGGTAGCAGCAACAATCAAGCTCAACAATCTGAATCTCAAGATGCACCACGTCACTCATTTTGGTGGTGACATTATGTAATTTTAGTAGTAACATTGTGTAAAATGTACTATATGTTATTTGTGATTTATGCTATGATGTTATGTACTTTGTCAAGTTCTTCCATTATGGATGTATACTTTTTTAAAACTATTTGAGTTAAAATGTACATATGCTTCCACAAGTATAATAATTAAAAATAATTTTATACATCTAAGTCCAATAAAAGAAATTTTTTCAACAAGTGTAATATGGATTTATAACATATAAAGTCATTAATTATTGAAATAAAATGTAAAAAAAATCATTTTCTAGTGATTTAAAAATATGAAATATATTGGATCATACTTAAAAATTATGAAAAATTTATCAAAATTTATTTTAAAACCTAATAAATATGATTATAAAAAAAATATATACGTATCGGTAAATTTTTTACAAATTGTGCGAAAAATGAAAAAATTCACAGTTCCGGTAACCGCAACCGTTACGCTGCGGCCTTTACACCCCGCAACCGCAACCGTATCACCGCCACCGTTACGGCGACCACAACCGCTTTTCAGAACCTTGCGTGCACGACAACGCAAATTTAAGCATGGAGGCATGACAATACCAATGAAACGTGCACAACAATGCAAGCGATGTGCATACTAATGCAAGTGACGTGCATAACAATGCAGGATAAGTGCAACTTTAAAAGCAGGTTTCAAACAAAACATCGAGCAAAGAAATGCAAGCTTTGGCGAGGGCAACTCAAATGCGACCTCTGGTTTACCTCCCGGAGGGGTCGTAACGTGCTCAAAAAGGATACATCCTGCTCTTGACGAGTAACGATAAAACACGCATCGAAAGTTGGAGTTGAAGTTCCCGCGGAGGAATTTCGTGCCGAAAAGTGCACTTTCCTTGTACTTTCTTGAGTGCCGGGGACTCCAATCACCACCAAAATTTATAGGGAGAACAAAGAGACATTAAAGACCACCCAGGAGTGCCACTGACCAGGTTTTGTACAAGGAGGTGGTCGGCTTACCAGAAAAGGGGGTCGTCCAACCACCTTGCTAAATTTCGGACAGTTTGGTCATTTTACACTTGTTTGTTTAAATACACATGTCCAAATCACTGTTCCTCACAACTTCAGGTCCGAAATTAGCTCTCCTTCCTTCCTAGACCATTTTCTCTCTCAGATCTGTGCTCTATACGCGTTTTCCAACGCCCCACGCAAAGTTATTTCGCGAAATCTTTCAGTTTTCTTCACTTTGGACCAATTAAAATTTGATTTCAGAGCTTCTTTCTCCATTTTCACCACTTGAGGTAAGTTTGTCTCGATATTTGGAACATTTTCTCAAGAGTTGACTTTTGTTGACTTTTTCATTTCCTGAGAGTTGACTTTTGTTGATTTTTTCAATTTTGGCTAATTTTGCTCATTTTTGCTCCTTTTTTGCAGATTTCTTGAAATGGCGGGTCATTTCCCTTATGGTGGAGGTCCTCCAGGTGCCGAGGGTGATCCGGACATTATGTCATTGCCCCCGAGAGTTCGACCACTTGACCCCGAGAGGTACGACCCTCAGGAGCACATCCTCTCCCCGAGTGTTTTCTATCATTTTACCGATTTTGATCGATGAGCACCAACAGATCTCCTGCTACGGGAGCCGGAGTCTCACCTCTCTCACCAGGCGCGAGAGGTACGTACTTCATTTTTACATTCTCTGAAATGTATTTTGCATTTCTTGCGCATTTCATGTTTTTGCTATATATGTTCATCTACTCGTTCTGAACACACTTGCACACCATACTTCTGCTTATTTTAGCACATGTCTCACAACACAGTATCTTGTTAAGTTGGCACACAGCTCAAGCACACGAATTTCTGAACACGTAGCTCATACTTTGATGATGAACACATAGCCCACTATTTGACGGCGAACACACACAGTCCACTATTTCTAAAATCTGAATACACAGCTCAAACTTGTTGATTACGAACACACAGCCCACTGTTTTTGAAGTCTGAACACACAGCTCAAACACTTAATGTTGAACACACAGCTCAAACTTTGAGATGAACACACAGCCCACTGTTTTTGAAGTCCGAACACACAGCTCAAACACTTGATCTTGAACACACAGCTCGAACTTTGAGACGAACGCACAGCCCATTATTTCTGAAATCTGAACACACAGCTCACACTTCAATTCTGAACACACAGCTCACTACACTTCATGTTAAACACGCAGCTCACAGCATTGTATCTGATTCAATTTGCACACAGCTTACACTTTCATTTTGAAACTGAATACATGTGTTCATTCTGAATGCAGGTATCTTCCCGTATTACACGAGGCTATGGCTCGATCATTGCTAGGGAGTGGTACGCGGAGCTCCCGGAGGCTATTCGTGATCTGGTTGACCAGGCAGGGTTCGGGCCCTTTTGCACGGGGATATCACGCTATCCGGCGAGTAGGACCCTGATGGGCACCCTCGTAGAGAGATAATGGAACACCACCAACTCCTTTCATTTCTCAGCTATCGGGGATATGGCGATGACCCCGTTTGACTTTGCTGTGCTAACAAGCCTTGACGTCGGAGGCTGGCTGATCCCCTACGACGAGGATATGGGCGAGTGGAAGGCTGCCTGGATCTATCTGTTGGGAGCTCGCCCACCGATTGACAGATCTTTGGGTAGAGTCCGATACACCTGGTTCTCCACGCAGTACAGGGAGACTGTGCCCGAGACTCTCGAGAAGATTGCACAGTACGCTCGCAAGTTTTTGATGTTCCTTCTTTGGACCACTCTGTTCTCCGATAGGGGGAACACCGTTGGACTTTATCTGCTGAGTGCTCTGATAGACCTATCACAAGTCAACCAGTATGACTGGGGTGGCGCTAGCCTGGCTACCCTCTACTGTTACATGAGTGCAACCTCCTGCGGATGGGGGAACATAGTTGGCGGCTATTGGAGAGCCTGGGAGGTACTTTCTGCCCTCTTGATTTACATTTCTGCTTTTCATTATCTGTACACTGCACACACGGTACACTTTACATTCTGTACTTTGCATTCCACTCTCAGCATTCTGTATTCTCTGTACATTCTGATAAATTATAAAATGATATAATTTTTCTCATTGCAAAATATAACATTTTTGTAGACCACAAAATATAATATTTTGCTCACTACAAAATATATATATTTTCATTCTTTATAAAATATATAATTTTTCTCCATATGGTACACACCATAAAATCAACTATCAAATATTTATTATAACTCTTATATAATAAATAATAACAACTCCCAAGGTGGTTACTACCATTCACATAATTAAAAAGGACCAAACAGTTAAACACGAGTCACTAAACAAACTCAAATTAAATTAAATCGAAGTCATGGGTCCCACCCATAAGCCAAACATGATCCAATTATATACGAAAATAGACCCAACAAATTTTATCCAAATCATGATCTAAACATTCAAAATTAAATAACAAAATTCTGTTCTAAATTAAACTGAACACTAATTAGTCCGTGAATTTTCATAAAATAAATACTCATCAATAAATTCTGAAATGTTTACCCAACGTGCTAGACTCGTATGTGAACAACATATAAAAATGTCATAATTTTCTGATATCGAGAACTATTTAAAAAAAATACAAAACCGAACTATTTTTGCACAGAATTTACACAGCAATCAAATTCGAGAATTAGCCCAATTAAATTATGCACTGGCTTTTTTTAAAAAAAAAAATTGGGTCATTACAACATACCCTCAAAAAAATTTCGTCCTTGAAATTAAACTCAAGTAATGTAATACATTCTGCAGTCACCCACAAACTCACTCAGGCACTTACTAATGCATCAACAAAATTCCTTTGGCTAGTACATGAGCCTCAACAAGTCGCACTAGTAACGAACCAAACCAATACTATCGCACAACAATTGATTATAAAAATCCTTACTAGTATAAATCATTAAGAGATTTTTTTTTCTATCCACATCGATAACCCAAAGCAACAAAATAGGATCTAATTCTTTAAGCATAACAAGAATTTTGGCAAAACAACTCCTCAGAATACCAACACACCATACTTTTTTGGTGATAACCCAACTTCAACGAACTATCTCCATCGCCTAATGCACAATGCACCCCAAGGCCAAAACAACTATCACTACTTTTAGACCTTAACAAAATGAAACAATACCTATTTAATAGCACTAACCACCAACTCAAAAAGTGATCGCCAACCATCACAAGACGAACAACACTTAACCAACACTAGTGTGATGCCACACCCCATAACCCAAACGAAATCAAATCAATTCGGACAACGAGCTAGAATTTCCATCAACAAGGCTACAAATCAACATTAAGGTTCCACTCCAATGTGGAGTTTACAAAATGGTCTCAATAATATACCTTAAGTCTAAGCAAAACTCAACACAATTAGGTAAACACCTAAGCTATACATGGCCCTCAAGCTAAAAGCTTATTCAACTCAACTTCTAAAACATTTACTCCGAGTTACAACACAAACTCTGGTGACTCACAAGGTCCTCCTTGAATGTAACCATGATTTGACGAACACAACTCGCGGGATACTTAAAACAATAGTGCTATTTCCTTGGCCAACCAACAAGAGATCCTACTTCTCTTCTGGGACTTATCACACAATAAGCACAAGAAAGCACCCTCCAAGGTTTTGCAAACAAACTCATAACTCATTCCAACTCACCCAATTGCAAGGAAAAAAGAGTCTAGTTCTCGAAGCCACCCAAATTACATACGGCCATAACAATCTAAAATCTAGTTTACACCGCCAAACTATCATACTCGTAGAGTCATTTCAAGACTCTATTTGGAAATTACTAGACTAACCAACTAGACACAAGATGTCCCCAAAGGAAAATGCAACCATGACTCAAAACACAACTCATTCCCTTTAAGAAAATTCTTTTACCAACGAGTGTTGGACACCCCCCCCCCTGACACCCAAGGACAAAACAAATAAATAAATAAGGATAACAACAATTATGAATATTGTCCGTTTCAAATCACATCTTTAAACCTTACATAGTTTGCACTTTATAGATTTTACAATCAAATCTCAAAACAATCAATCTCTCTTGGGAAATACACCCCTTACCTCCATTCACAATCTTTACCATGTCGAGACCACGCCTCTTCCCAAATACATACAAGGATATACAACCCAAAGTTCAAGACTAACTCCACACATAATCAACTGCATTGAACAGTTTTCACAATCATACAAGGCCATATATATTCCATTCATAACATTTAGCATCAACACCTCTCACTAAGGTACATTCTTATGTTTCAACACGAAACTCAACATATGCATATCAAATAGCATAGAGTTACAT